TAGTCTTTTGTGACTTGCAGAAATTAAACGGAGGAATGTTGTTTGTACTGGTAATTTGAGCAGCAAAAAAGCTATCTCCTGGGGTAGGGGTGGGCGGCAGGGAGCTTAATTGTGTAGTGGCTGAATTTCGAGTCACCACTGTCAAAAGTATTTTCAGGCTTTTGTCACAGAGAAAGACCTAAAATGCTTAAATCTTACTTGAACTGCTCTCTGTTCTAAACTTCTCAATATTAGGGTTAAACCAGCCAAGCTTGTCTATTATTGAGCTCTTTCTCAGTTTACTTCAGAATTTTGTTGCTTTTTAAAAATTAAAAATGGGATATTACTCAAAGAAAAAAGGCTTGACTGATACCATGTTTGTCAAGCCTCTTTTGTTAGCAATAGAAATCCAGCACCACCTATTTTAAGCCCAAAGCAGGATTTATCATAAAGTATATAAAGAGAGGGCCAGAACTCAAGGAGAGGAAAGTGTCATAACTTCAGAATAGGGAGAACCACGGCTTTGAACACAGGCAGGATCTTGCCTCTGGCTCTTATCTCTGGTTCTTTGAGCAGCTTGGCTACACTATTAACTCACTGGGGATGGGCTTTCTTCCTGGTAGGAAAAAAACGTGGCTCCCAAGTTACAACACTCATCCCAACCAACAGACTGGGTCCCAGCCCTCTCTTTGGTCCAATACTTGAGTCAAGTAGTGTAATAACTGTGGCCAGGAAGCAGAACAATACTGCACTAAATTCTTTTTTTTTTTTTTTTTTTTGAAATAGAGTCTTGTTCTGTCGCCAGGCTGGAGTACAGTGGTGCAATCTCGGCTCACTGCAACCTCCGTGTCCTGGGTTCAAACGATTCTGCCTCAGCCTCCCGAGTAGCTGGGACCACAGGTGTGTGCCACCACGCCTGGCTAATTTTTGTATTTTTAGTAGATATGGGGTTTTACCATGTTGGCCAGGATGGTCTCGATCTCTTGACCTCATGATCTGCCTGCCTCAGGCTCCCAAAGTGCTGGGATTACAGGCATGAGCCACCACGCCCGGCCACACTAAATCAATTATTATAGGACTCAAGTAATCCAGTGGTGCTCAAATTATTATCTGGGGATGCCTAAGGCAAAATTAGAGTTTATCTGGCGTGACTGGGCAGGATGAGCCAAGGGAAGACCGAAAACAAGGAGATGAGGTTAGGGAGGTGGCCAGTCACAGTTGATGCAGGTCGTTCATTGGTTAGGGTAAGAGTCCAGAGCAGAACTGCCCAGTGGAAATATAACATGAGCTGGGCATGGTGGTCCTAACGTTTTGGGAGGCCGAGGCGGATGGTTTGCTTGAGGCCAGGAGTTCAAGACCAGTCTGGGCAAAATGGTGAGACATGCCCCAGAGTTAGGAGGTAAGGCCTTTGGGAAGTAATTAGATCATAACACAACCCTCATGAATAGGATTAGTATAATTATAAGAGAGCCCCCAGAGAGCTACCTTGTCCCTTCCATCATGTGAGAACACAACCAGAACAAGGAAGTGGACCCTCACTGGACATCAAATCTACCAGCACCTTGATTTTGAATATCTAGCATTCAGAACTGTAAGAAATACATTTCTGTCATTTATAAGCCACCCAGTCTATCGTATTCTAACAGCCTGAACAGATTGAGACAGTAACAGAAAAGAACAAAGTAACTGACATGCTTCTTCATAGTCATAAGCATGAAAGGACAACCAAGGATCATAAGATAATTGAATAAAACTAGCAGGTTCAAAATAAATAAATACAACATACCCTAGAAGAAATACAGTTCATGGAATAGAGGTAACTTTTTAAAAGTTCAGATTAATTTTCTGAGAGAAATCTGAAGTGATAGCATCTATAAAATAATAGCAGGTGACTGTAAAAGCAAAAAATAGTATATTTTAAAACTATGATTCTAAAAAAATCAAGGGCTAGAAGAAAAAGTCAAGGAAATCTTGCAAAATGTAGAACAAGGGACAAAAAGTTGATCAGAAAAAGGTTGAAAGACCCACTAAAGTTTGTAGACCCACTAAAAAGGTCCAACATCCATCAACAAGAATTTTACGTTGAGAACAAAGAAAACAGAAGTAAATAAATAGGAATAGTGCTCCCATAGCTGAAGAAGCATGAATTCAGACAGAAAGTCTTACCCACTGCTAATTCATATGAATGGAGAAATACCCATATCTAACAGTATCCTGGAGGAACTTCACAATTCCAAAGACAAAAAGGAATGCCTAAAAGATTCCCAAAAGGAAAAAGAGGGTACTCAAAGGAATGACAACTGTATTGGCATTATATATATATATTTTTTTTTTGAGACAGAGTTTCACTCATGTTACCCAGGCTGGAGTGCAATGGCGCGATCTCAGCTCACCGCAACCTCCGCCTCCTGGGTTCAGGCAATTCTCCTGCCTCAGCCTCCTGAGTAGCTGGGATTACAGGCACACACCACCATGCCCAGCTAATTTTTTGTATTTTTAGTAGAGACGAGGTTTCACCATGTTGACCAGGATGGTCTCGATCTCTTGACCTCGTGATCCACCCGCCTCGGCCTCCCTAAGTGCTGGGATTACAGGCTTGAGCCACCACGCCTGGCCGGCATTATATTTTTTATCAGTTCACTAGATGCTGGAAAAGAAAGGAACAATGCCTATAGAAAATCTTTGAATGACAATGATTTTGAGCCTAGAGTTCTATAACCATTCAAATTAGCATTTAAATGGAGAGCAAAAAATTCATATATTTATTTCTAAGGGCTGAGGAAATTTATCTCCCATAAACCCTTTCTGAAAGAACTGCTTAAGGATGTACTACAGCAAAATGAAAATAAATCTAAGAAAGAGGAAGATACCAGGCTGCAGAAACAGAGCAATCCAGAGAAATCCTAGAGTGTTACTTGTACAATAGGCCCCCAAAATAAATAATATGAAGACATGGGGTCATTGTAGTGGATAAAGGTTTACTACAGTACTACATTTAAAAATCACAATATATTTACTTTTCCCTCAAGAGAGGCTGGCACAATGCCTCATGCCTGTAATCCCATGCCTGTAATCTTGATGCCAGGAGTTCAAGACCAGCGTGGGCAACAGGTGAGATATGCCCCAGAGTTAAGAGGAAGGGCCTTTGGGAAGTAATTAGATAATAACAGAGCCCTCATTCTTAGATTCCTTTTCATTTTGTTGTAATATATCCTTAAGCAGTTCTTTCAGCAAGGGTTTGTGGGTGATAAATTTCCTTAGTCCTTGGAAATCAATATGTATATTTTGCTCTCTGTTTAAATGCTAATTTGAATGGTTATAGAACTCTAGGCTCAAAATCACTGTCCTTCAGAGATTTCTGAAAGGCATCTTTTGGGAGGCTGAGGCAAGAGGCTGGCTTGAGCCCAGGAGTTTGAGATCAGCCTGGATGACACAGTGAGACCTGTCTCTACAAAAAAATAAGAATTTAGCGTCGTGACAGATAATTACATCACCTTCTCTACTGGATCCAAACACTCTATTTGACCCTGCCATGAATATTTTTTACATCATCAGCAGACTACAAAAACTTGTTCTTGGTTTTCATTGTCAAGAATTAACCTATAGAAATTTTATGTAAGATTTAATTTGCATTAGACAACAGTGTGCTATAAACTCTGCCAATGCCAGGGCATGTTAATAGGTATATAGAGTATAGGTAGAGAGGAAGACAAAGGGAAGGAATAGGGGGGCCAAGTCCCTCACCTTACCCACAGAAAAGAGATACTTAGTGTGGGGTGTGGTTGGGGCCCAGGGGAGGGTGGCAGAAGAGTTTGGGAGTGGGTAGGACACATGGGTGGAAAGGGAGGTGAATGAGGGCTGGGAAGTTGCAGGGGATGCTGAGTGAAAAAGGTGAGGCAGAGCAGGGGTGCTGAATGAAGAGAGTGAAGCAGAGCAGGGGGTGCTGAATGGAAGGGGTAGGGCAGAGCAGGGGGTGCTGAGCGGAAAGGGCAGTACAGAACAAGTGCTGAGCAGAAGGGGTGCGGCAGAGCAGGTGGTGCTGGGAAGAAGGGGTGGAGCAGA